AGGGCATCCCAGCTGGGACCAGAGCTGGCGTCCACCAAGGCAGGCGGCAGGAAGCAGGCAGCTCCTTTATTCAGAAATTGTTACTGGTTGCTGGAGCTGGCGCCACCTGCCCCACTGGGCTGCAGGAGGTGACGGGTGAGGATTGGTTTCTGGGGGCGGCCTTGGGTGCCAGGCCCAGGCACTGGAAGTCATCTTAGAGGCCCTGGGAGCCATCGGCGGCTGCAGAACAAGGCCCACGGGGACTAGGCTATCTGCACCTGTGCAGAGGATCAGCTTCTTCTAATCTGAGCACTCACTGGATGGAGTGCTTAGAGGGAGCCCGGCAGTGGCCAGACGCCCAGTCAGACCAGCTGGGGGAGCCTGGAGCTGGTCTTCCCCTCCACATCCGGCACACCGTGACCTGGGGCGAGTTACAAAGCCCTCCGAGCGGGCATCCAGTGCTGTAGAATGGGGCACGTGCCCTCCCTCGGGGGCCCCTGTGAGAACCAAGCGAGATGATGCAGGTAGGGGTGCATAGGAGCCCTGCGGCCCACAGCGGCCACCCTTGCTGGACCTCTCGTCATTCCTGTCGATGCTCCGAAAACTACAGCTTCTTCCGTAGTTCACCGTTCACCTCCCCCTTGTCTTCATGGCGAGAGACCAGAGGGTTTGGCTCATTAAAACCAAATAAAAAAGGAATTAGCGGGAGTGGCAGGCGATGAGTAACCGATGAGTAACTGAGTCTGAGCCTGAGGTGGGCACAGCCAGGTGAGCCCAGACGCTGGCAGGGAGCATGGAGGGGCGGCTTCTGGGAACCAACAGAGCGCAGACTCAGCCTGGGCACCTGCTGGCCTGCCTGGGACAGCAGGATATCGGCACCCCTGATACCCTGGAGCCTCTCTACTGGACAGGAAGAGGAGGGTCACTGGCTGCAGTTCCAGGGCCTCTGAGGGGACACCCACATCCATCCTTAAGCTCCCACTGGCTGAGCCTCCTGACGCAATTGCACGATATTTGGGGTTTCCTAGACCCCTCTGTCAGAGCCTGCCCTGTGTTGCATGCCCTCTCCAAGGTCAGCTTGTCCTCCCCAGTGCTCCCCACTCAGCATTTACCTGCTGCCTGCCCTGCCCCCCAGGTCCACAGACAGCCCACATGGCATCTAACTTGGGGGGCACATACCCTCCTCCTGCCCAAGGTCATCTGGCCTCAAAGGGGCCAACCCAGGGACAGAATG